TATATTTTTGTCATAACAGATTTGCTGTGTATCATGACCCTTTGATATTGAAGAACTATGAAGGACATGGACAAAGGCCAAGAAAGCATAGAAAGAACAGTTTGTTAAAACTGAAAAGACAAAATTGGACACAATATTTAGGTTTTAAACTACATTTTTTTACTAGGTATGTCTGTTTGTTCTGTATGTATCTGCTGGAATCGAGATTTCACAGATATTCCCTGAAGCACATGTGGCAGCTCCCTCTGTCCCTGTTACACCTTGGTATCGGCTGTGGCCAGACACAGAAAAAGGAAACTCATGAAAGAAGCAAACAGTAATACAGCCAGCAAAGTGCAAAGTATGGTATAAAGGAAGAAATAAATGACTGCCCTATATTTAACAATACAATGCAGTAAAGGTAGACAAGCCAACACCCCTAAATTGTGCTGGCAAATCAATATTAACCTATGGAAATAGAATCTGGTTTTTCAGGAGTGAGTACTCCCCATTTCCAGGAGGTTTTGTGTTGGATGTAGCTACATCATTAGCCACTTCTGATACTGAGAAAAATACTTTTTGATAGCTTTTCCTAGGATTGATCAAATTCTCTCTGTTTAGAGTCTGATTTCATTAATCCCTTTTCATTCTAATTTGACTCAGGTCATGAATTTCATTACTTTCTCCTAATCTTCAGCAAGCAACTCACTGCCAGCTACTGTGTACCACTAAGAAAACTGCAAAGGTATTTCTTTCAGATGACAAGGCCACATAAAAAGCTCCTATTTCACTTTGAATGATTTACTTTTCACTAAAAATGTGCTTCTACAAAAATGTACTGGCAAAATTCTCAAAATGCCAGAGCCAAATTCTCATACTAACTGCTTCAGCATGTTCACTACCTCATTTAGAGTGAAGGACAACAAAGCCACTGGAGAATGGTTCATCTGCAGCTAAACAGCCTCCCTCTTTATAGCCCTTGTCAGTCTACAGCTCATGCATTCTGGAAACAAAGATTTCTCCCAATAAACATTTTATTTGAAAAAACATCACCCAAGAAGTAACTCAAAATACAGAGTGGAGTAGTAAAAAAAATTACATTTTGAGAGCTAATTTTCTTTAGAAATTATGGAATAAACCTTTTCACACTTCATCACTATTGCAAGATATTAATCTGCCCTGCACCAGAGAAAGCTTCTATTCATTTTTTGGGTTTTGGAGTTTTTTGGTTGGGTGTTTTTTTTTGTTTGTTTGTTTTTGGTTTTGGTTTTGTTTTGTTTTGTTTTATTGTTTTTGTTGTTGTTGTTTTTTGGGGGGTTTTTTTGTGTGTGTGTGTAGGTTTTTTGGGGTGTTTTTGTTTGCTTGCTTGTTTTTTGTTTTTGGTTGGTTTTGGGTATGGGGTGTTGATTTTGTTTTCGGTTTTGGTTTTGGTTTTTGGTTGGTTTGGTTTGGTTTGGTTTGGTTTGGTTTTTTTTGAGAGATGAAATCACACATTTTCAACCCGGTAGTTACCTCTCTTCATTCTTAGGAGACCTGCCAGTTTTTTGACTTGTCCAATATTTCTCACAGCTGAGACATCTTTTACCTGAATTTTGGTTGGACATTTAGATATAATCTAACTATCTACAGGGGGGACCCAAAACAAAGGCAGCAAAATAAACCATCTCTTAAACAGTAACACCTGAAAACTGCCTTATAACTAAGTCTCGTTACCTTTTAGAAATATTAACATCATGCCATGGATGCCTCACAGTGTAAGACTTCACAAAGGTTGTGGGTTGTTACTATTGTTACTCCAAACTTCCCATCAGAAGTGAGAATAGTTTGCACATGCTTTTATTACTGAGAGAAGCTTACAGGTACTGGCACATGACCAAAGAGGAAGGGAAGAGATACCACAAACCAGCTTGAACTCTTCACACAGCAATCTGAAGAAGTTACAGGTAGTGTATTTGATTCCTTCTGTAAATGCATTTTTGGTGCAACCTGTGTTAATAAACCAGTTATTAACCAGTTGTTAATAAAAGAATTTAGGCATTACATTCACAGATTGACTGCTTTTTTTTCCTAGTGCTCTCAAGAAGTAGCTGAACTGCATCTCTCTTGCTGTCATTCCAAACTTTTACTGCTTACCATTTTCTTGTCTCACTTGTTCTTCCATCCTTCCATGTTGCAGCAGTTTCTTTACCAAATCAGGGAAGTAAATGCTACTGCAACTATTCTGTATAGGTTCAATGTAAAAACCAAGCAGAGATATTAAGAACCAATATGTTTGGGGAAGGAGATTCTTCTAACCTGGTCTTTCATGTTACAGGTAATTCCATAATGAATGAGTTTGGAAAACACACATATTGTAAAGAATATTCATACATAATAAATATAAAATCCATGGAAATCATATGTTGAGTAAAGTAGGAGAGAAGAGGAGATACAAGTACTAGCAGCATAAGCTATTTTAGATTTCTTGCATTATTACTTCCTTACCTTCATATATTTTCAAATCACTGACATGTATGTGTTATTATTTGCACACCTTGACATAGTTATTTTTCTAATAATTTGAAGTAGTCTGATCATTTTGTTAAACCACAGAATCATAGAATCATAGAAGGGTTTGGTTCAGAAAGGACCATAAAGGTGTCCTAGTTTCAACCTCACTCCCATGGGCAGGGACACCTTCCACTAGACAAGATTGCTCAAAGCCCCATCCAGGACGGCCTTTAACAGGTCATCCACAATTTCTCTGGCCAACCTGTCACAGTGTCTCATCACCCTCAGAACAGAGAATTCTTTCCTAATATGTAATCTAAACCTACCCTCTTTTGTTTAAAGCCATTTCCCTTAGTGCTGTCACTGCAGATCTTGGTAAAAAGTCTCCATCTGTCATTCTTCTAAGCCCCATTGAACAGATGCAATGATGTAAAGTTGTCCCTGGAGCCTTCTCTCCTCCAGCCAGAGCAGCCTCAGCTCTCTTGGCCTTTCTTCAACAAGGAAAGGTGCTCCATCCTCTGATCATTTCTGTGGCCCTCCTCTGGACCACTGTAACAGGTCCATGTCTTGTGCAAGAGACCTCAGAGCTGGATGCAGTGTTCCAGGTGGGGTCTCACCAGAGCAGAGCAGCGGGGCAGGATCACCTTCCTCAACCTTCCGGTCATGTTTCCCATGCTTTCATACAGCCCAGGATAAAGCTGGTTTTCTGCACTGCAAGTGCACACTGATGACTCATATCTAATTTTTCATCCACAAAAATCCCATGAAGCTATATTAAAATCCATAGTTATTTTATGTTTCTATACTACCAGGGTTTTAATATAATTTATTGAAAACAAAATGAATTAAAATACATAGACTTTCTTTGGAATATCACACTAGTGTCCACAAGTCCAGTAAATAAAATTACTCTTCCCAAGTTTGTGAGTAACCTGTATTTGTTACTCTGTGCAGCTTCTAATAATCTTTAAATAACATGCTTTTGATAAAAATTATTAAAGAACACTGCTCAAATTTTACAATAAAATTATAAAGAAAATGAAACATCATGTGAGCTGCAATAAATGTTTACATAGCAACGAGAGCCTTTGCTAGTGATCACCAAACAGTCAATTGCCACCTGCTTGAGCGAAATGTGTCCATTTTTTTCACTCCAAATAGTGTTCAGGCACTTCAAAAAGTCATGTGAATAATGTAAATACTCAACTCACACTTTAGAGTAATTTATTTACTACTTACAAAACTAAAGGTAGTACAAGGAACTTGCAGAACTGTGGATGGAACATTTTTCCAACAATGTGACTTAAATGCTGATGGAGTAAAATAAAGTGAATTCCATCCTCTTTTTGCAAGGGACCAAATCAAAATAATAAATTACTGATATACTAAAAATTAAAATTCTACTGCTATAAATATAATCACCATCAATATGTTTCTGCCATTTATTGACCAAAGAGATCGGGTTTCATTCCTGTATAGTAGTTCTTTAATTTTCTGTTTCAAGATGATAAAAAACCTAAGATACCTGATACTGAGCCATAATTACACTGAATTTTTTAAACCGGCGTATTAAGATAGCTGAAATATTATGTCTCTTCCATTATTTTTGCACCTTTAACATAAAGAGAAATAAACCTGTTCTTCCAGTCAGAAATTTCTGTCACGCAAATTTACTAGAAGGCAGATTAGCTGTGGAAATGTGAAGTATGAATTTGTGGCATGGTATGAACTATTACGCTCAATTTATATGTTAAGAATATGAGCGACTTGCTACTGCCAAGAAGAAGGTCGTCGACTACCTCCAGTCTTAGGGGTAGAATCATTTTTTAAATTACTTTTCTGTACTTGCATTAAGATGTTCTGTCCCTGGTCCTTTTATGTAATTTCTATCTCCGTTCCTAATACCTTCAGAGGCATGGGAGGTATTCACCTTGTGTGCATCCACCACAGGGAATGTGCACTGAAGACAAAACCCTCAATACATTCTCAGGGAGAGGGGCAGAGTATGCACACACATGTCTTTGTAGCAGAATGGTGACCTCGAGTTTAGATGTTGGTTTGGAGAGCTGGTAACTACAAACAATCAAAGGAAACAGAAACACCCTTGGCAGATTGTCCGTGGCTGCAGGCTAAACAAAAGCGAAAATTGCTGAACACGGCATGATTTTGAATTAAACTACCGTTTCCCTCTAAGCATGTGGAAAAGTGAATTTCAGGGGAAATTTGGAGATCAAGGCTACATTATATGTTTGAAACGAAAGTCCAAGGCAGATGAGGCGTGTGCAGGACTCCGGAATGGGACCTGCACAGTTTCTGACCCGGTCTCCGTGTCGGCGAGGTGCAAAGAGCCCCTTCACGCTCATACTGGACCCATTTTTAGCCCTTTTAAAGAAAACTGTCAAGGGGCAAGCGGCCGGCACGACGCGCAGAGCCCGGCGAGCATTCCAAGCAGCATCTCGCCGCCCGCCTCCCTGCCCCGACGGGGCGTGTGCGGCCCGAGCGCGGCGGCGGCAGCGGCGGGGGCTCTGCGGTGGGAGAGTTCCGCGGCCAGAAACTCCCCGAGGCGCCTCAGGTGCCGCCAGCCGTGAAAGGCGACGGGGCCCACGGCCGTCCCTGGCTCTCCGCCGCCGTCGGGGGCGGGGAGAGCGGCGGAGAACCGAAAGTGAAGGGAAGGCAGCATTGCGGGGCATCCCCGGGCCGAGCGCGGATGCGCCCGCCCGTCGCCGCTGCCGGGCCGGCACTGCAGGGCGCTGCCGCCGCTGCCCCGGGCGGCGATGCTGTGCTGCATGCCCGGCGTGGCTTTCGTGCCCGCTTTGCTCGTCAGCTGGTCCTCGGCCGCCTTCATCATCTCCTATGCCATCGCCGTGCTGGCCGGGCACGTCGAGCCCTTCGTGCCCTACATCAGGTGAGGCGGGGAGCGGCCGAGCTGCGGGGCCCGTGTGTGTGTGACCATGGGCGGTGTCCCGAGGGGCTTCCCGGAGGGAGAGTGGGGTCCCCAGGGAGGAGAGGCAGCGGCGGTGGGGCCTCACGCTGGGCGCTCCCGGCACCCATCGCACCTCCAGCACCTCTGAGAGCCGCAGGACACAGCGCCGGAGACACGATGGAAAGGACATGGAAGTTTTCTGCTGCAGCCAAAGCAGGCCTGATCCTAGGAAAAACTTTACTATTACGTGGTGGAAGTGTAATTTTGTTTGTATAACTCCAGAACTAGGCCAAAGGGCACCAGACGATGACTGGACTCAGAGCCCTGTGGTGGCTTTCGCGGTACACACATCCCCACAAACATGCATTTTTTATATTTCATTACAGGACCAATGGGTTTTAAAGATTTCCCAAGAGATGCCTGGCATCTCTTTTCTATAACTTTTTTCATTTAAGTGCAATTCTTTGTAAATCATTCTTTAGGCGTGGCTTATGTTAACGTTTAAGTCTAAACTATGAAAATGTTAGTATTTATCTCTCAATTGATTGAAGGTTAGCCAGAAATCCAAGAGTGTCTCTGATATACAGAAGATCTAAACAAGGTTTTAGAATATATTTTTCGAGATGCATCTAGACCTAATTCCTTGAAGGACTTTTTGGACGTGAACAATTTCAGAAGACTGCTAACCTGATTGGCACATAGAAGAAAATTTTATTGAAAATTAGGGTTTGTCATCATAGGCAAGAGGAAATGACACCACAACCCACAAGATAGCTGAGCTTCATTCAAACTGAGCCAGAGAAAGTTGGGCTTCATGTTTATATTAGCAAAACTTTTTAAGACTTTGTGCAAATCTGGAAAGCTCTTGGAAAGCCTTGTTCTTGTACTTGAACAAATACCCTACTGCTCATCCTTGATTACACACAAAGCTTTACTAACACAAAAGTGCTTGTGATCAGTGCAATTTATCCAGTATTAACTAACAAAAATTAATCATTTGACATAATTGTACATAGTTTGTGTTCAGAAATATTTTGAGATCCTCTAGTAAGAAATTTGACCAATTATGTTTCTTATGTTGAAGCCATGTCGTAGAATAAAATATATGAGAGAGCGGGATGTGGTTTTTATGTATAGTTTTGTTTGCAGTTAAGTTTTTGACAGCCCAGATATCTTAATTGTGTCATTCTTTCTAAAAGGGATGGACCAAACCTTTAAGTTAGAGCTGTACAACTCTAGTGAATGTATCACAGCTGCCACACTTATATCAGCTTAATGGAATAGCACCCATTAAACACTGTTCTTATCCTTTAGCTATGGAATCACAATAAAAGGCCATATGCCCTAAAATCCTAAACAAAACAAAAACATAAGAGGCTGTGCCAGTGATTCCCACTCACATTTCGGTCCCTCTGCATTTACTAGTAAAGCTTTTTAAAAGTCTTGTTTATGTTATATCCTTTTAACATCACATTTGGACTAAGAATATGTTGGCTATTGGTGAAGCACCTGCAACAATTCTAAAGGCATGTGGTCTAAGCATAAGAACTTCATAGAAGATGCACTTGGGAATAGTACAGGGTTTTCTTCTAAGTACTCAGGACAATAGTTGTACCACATTCAATGCTTAATTTGCAGGTCATTGCTTTAGCCTAAGAATATGAATCATGTGATTGAGAATGTGATTTAGTAAAACTAAGAGTGTTAAAAAAGGAGGAAGAATGTTGCAACCTTTCAGTTGTGCAATATCTTAAAATGAAGTATAAAAATTAAATAGACCTCATATGGGGAAATTCCAGTTACACAAAGGAGAAGAATACTGACATACTTGAGTTCAATGTTTCTGTAATTCTTACATTCATTCCCCAAGTACTCTGTGTATGCCTTGAAGTGACATTAATTTTATTTGCTTACAATGTAGCAGCTGTTACAGCGAGAGACCACATCTAAATTTGTCATTGAGACTGTGCTAATGTCCCATCAAGTAAACCATATAAATACAATTCTTGGTAAATAAAATTAATATGATTTTGTATTTTCTAGCAGCTAAGGCCTAAAAGATGATGAGGTTATGCCAAAATTAGTCCTGTTACTCACGCTGCTCAAAATCCAAACCGATTTGGATGTGCTGGGGTGGCTGTTTGCTTGTTCAAATTCTCAGTGAAAGAATAAAGGAAATTCTCCTGAAAGTATTTGCTACCACTTGGTACCTCTGGAGAAATCAGGATTCCTGTAGGTGGAATAGAATCTTCCTATTTTAAAAATTGGACCTCAGTTTGAAGAGAAATAGTTTATGATGGCTCTGAAGAAAATTTAATGAAATTCAATGAAAATTGAATGAAAATTCAATGAAAATTCAATGAGTCTTTTGGCCCTAAAATATTTATTCTTTGTCTCCTTCACCGTCTTGTCTTTCCACTCTTCAGAAGACTGTTCATTTTTAAAATTCTTCTGCATGAGATGGTGACACTGCTGTCATTTTCATACAGGGTTCTTAATCTTTTCCATGGTGGTTGAGCTCACCTATGCACCAGCTCAAATAAGTGAGCACATTTTTGTTTCAAATATACCATTTCCTTTTTTCTTGTTCATAAAAAGGAGGGGACTGTCACCCATTTTTGTTTCAAATATACCATTTCCTTTATTCTTGTTCATGCTTTTTTTGCTAATCTTTTTTTTTCAAATCAGCAGACTTAAAGAAAAATTAGTATTAATCCAAGTATTCATTTAGCTTTTCTAATGCAAAATATAGCATTAAGAAGACTGTGTCCTTAAAAGTCCAGTGTAGTACTTTGTAAATAGATTGTGATATAATATTCCTGGTATGAATTTTGTTTACAACGTAATCTAAGATTGTTGAGTTTAAAAATCCGCAATAGCAAAAATCACCTATAACCTTTAGCTTGAGAAAATACTTTGTTAAAAAATGTAGTTCAGTGCAATTTCACGTTATTTGGTTTACTCCTGCAATGTGTTCCAAGAACTTCAAATGGCTTTCTATGTGTGTGCCAATTCCATTCTCTTCTCACCTAAAGCCCTTCAAAAGCTTTGAAGTGATTACAGTCATGTACTTACCACAGAGTGGTTTCTGATTTGAAAAAGTCCTTGAAGATTGTCACAAGTGGCCCACATTTTAAATGGACTCCTTTGTCGTGTTAATGAAAACACTCCAGAAACAAAAGGAAAACATGAGGTTCAAGTTTAAAAAATGGGCTAAATGAAACACGAATTAAGATGATTTCCAGGTGTATCAAACAAACAAACAAAAAGTCTTAGTTTACTGTTTTCATCAATTTCACTGCCAAAGAGAAACGAGATTAATACAGACTACCAGCTGGAACAAGTCCTCAGAAAGCATTACAACAAGAAAATTCAGGGGAATAGGGATTCCCAATGCCTGACAAGTTGTAAAAACTTGCCTAAAAGCTTGGTCCAAACTTTTGTTGTCTGAGAATTTGGAACCAATCTAGTAAAAAGAAATATATGAATTTTCTCTATTTTTTTCCATCGGCTTTTCATAGAAAAAGATCCTACCTTTATGCTAAGCTTCCTCCTGTTGCTGATAAATCATCTTAGCAACTTTTGTTAAACAAGTCATTCTATAACATAGAAAGGGTTGGAGAGCAAATATGAATTTCTAAAATAATCAAGTCATTTGAGATGGTCATACTCTTCTGTCCTGAACTTCACAAAATTGTCAAAATCCTTGAGAGTGATTGCTAAAGTAGAGAGTGCTTTCTCTTTTTCCTGTGGAGAGCATTCATGCTGAGGTCATTTTGGCTGTACTCAGTGGTAGCTTCAGAATCTTAGCACTGAAACCTAATCCAGCCTCACTCTTGGAATGAATAGAATTCTTCTTTTTGCATGACATAAAAAAATATCCCTAGCTAGTACCTACTTGTCTCATTATACACAGAATCACAGAATCAGCATAGGTTGGAAAAGACCTCTGAGGTTAGTGAGTTCAACCTGTGTCTGAACTCCACCATGTCAACTAGACCATGGCACTAAGTCCAGGCTTTCCTTTAGCATTTCCAGGGATGGTGACTCCACCACCTCTCTGGGCAGTCCATTCCAATGTCAGAATCTTTGCTCAGTGTCCACTAAGCTTTGGCATTAGCTGAAACCCTCATGTGTTCGCATATCTGATTGGGTGCCTCTGTTCAAACACACTATCCTGCTTCTTGGTACTGCCCAGTAACTGAAAACTTAGCTCACACTCAAATTATGTAAAGATGGAAGAACTAGATGTTTTCCATTGGCTTGACCAACAGAACCTGATCAAATAGATATCAACTGGTTGTATGTTAAACAAGAAAAAAATGGACATCAGAGAAGAAAAAATAGCAAAAAGAGGTGGCGAGATCATAGTACTGTTCTTTCAACAGAGCACTCACCTTCCATAGAAGAGTTCTGCTTGAGGGGGCTTGAGTACAGGAGTAAGTTCATTCTGTGAGGAAGGGGCATTCTCTGGGGTGAGTTTTTGCACTTATGTAGGGAAAAGAGGGGAAACTACTCTATGGTGAAGGTGTTCCATTTTCTAAAAAACAAATGTTTTGTGCACATTATGTCTTTCATATATATATAGATGTAATATATGAAGACATTATGTCTTTTATATATGTCTAGACATATGTAGACATATACATGTAGATATTTATATAAATTCTGTAGATATTCTCACACCCCTCCCTCTCAATGTCCCAGTGAACTAATTATTCCCTGTGCAATGTTTCATCAGAAGAGACTTACAATCTAAAAAACAAATGTTTTGTGCACATTATGTCTTTCATATATATATAGATGTAATATATGAAGACATTATGTCTTTCATATATGTCTAGACATATGTAGACATATACATGTAGATATTTATATAAATTCTGTAGATATTCTCACACCCCTCCCTCTCCATGTCCCAGTGAACTAATTATTCCCTGTAAGGGTGAAGTGTTTCATCAGAAGAGATTTACACCACCTTGGAGATAGAGTACTCTTAAGCTGTATCTACATCAGTAAATTAAACAGTTGCTAGGAACATTCTTGGGCATGGAGCACAATTTCTCTCATAGGGTTATGTCCTTTTAAAGAAATTAAACCAAATTTTCTCACATCTTAAGATAGTGATTGCCATTAGATATCTTTTAGTCTATCACAGTGTTAATTCAGCAGATAAAAGAAACATTAATTCTGAAATGTCATTTATGTAATCATGTCATTCATGAGCAAAGTACAGGTCTGTCACATCTTTGCATATTGCATACAGAAACAGAAGAAATGCAGTTCAAAGAGTATGCTCTTAAAATATGCTTTCTTTTGAAAAGAAGGATTCTCTACTACAAATGGTGCAGCAGAAGATGAATTGCCTTACACACACAGCAGCAGTTCACACGAGTTCTGTTTCTCGAGGGATTTCAGTTGTCTCATTTATGTTTCACAGGTCTCAATTAACTTTTAATTTGTCTCTCTTCCTGCTTTAGCGACACTGGAACTAAACCTCCGGAGAGCGGAGTCTTTGGTTTTATGATTAATATTTCAGCACTTCTAGGTATGTATCAGGTATTTGGGTTGACCAGAATGAAAAAATCAGAGTTAGTGAAAAATGCCTGCTTTCATTACAGAAATGTATTCAGTATTCTGCAGAAAAACTTCTCCACAGTCAAATGGCAGTATCAGGTAGATGTAAGTAATCCCTGGAGAGTTGGGTCCTTAGGAGCAGTTAGTGCAGGCTTAGAGGCACTTGTGTCTCTTCAGAGCACCTCATCAGTGCAAAGCAGTCAGCACACTGGAAATAAAAGTGGAGCAAAGATGGCATAATTACTCTGCAGAAACTCTGATGTAGGGAAACTTTAGTTTCTAAGATGCTGCAGTAAAGGGAAGTGTTGAAGCAACACCTGGTTTTCTCCACAATGTGCCTGCTCTACAAAATAACTGATGTGAATCAGGCAGTTTGGCATTTTCCATTATCTTTAAGAGGATTGAGGATCAAGAGCTGTGTATCTCTGTATGATGGCCTTAAGACAAAGTAAACATATTTTACCTTTTATAAGAGCCTCGTTCAGTCACAATCTTGGAGTGTTTCATGTAGCCTCATAGTGCCTGGGCAAAGTTACCTAATTTCTTTTACCAACTGCAGATAGGCTGAAACTGTGTTGTGTGTTATGGAATTGTGGAATTCAGTCTACAGCTTATTATCCTGAAGAACCACGATTTCCTAATTCAGTACTGGTGTTTGCCAGGAGTGAACTGCATATTAGGGCCAGGCATGCAGTGACTCTACAAAATGGAATTAATTCTTCAGACCATCCATCATAAGGAGATGTAGTTCTTGCACAAGACTGCTTCTCAGAGCAGAATAAGGCCTTTCACTTGCATCTTATGGTTCTTATCTCCCTGTAACACCTGTTCCTAATGTGCCCAAAACACCCAGAAGAATGAGATTTAAATTAGTGCTTTTCTTGAACTGATGTGCATTTAGTTCTACATAGCAATAATGTGCAATTTTAAGACAATGTTGAAGTTCCATCTGAAAGTTCATCTGAATTAACTTCTTCATTCCAGCAGAGTTAAAGATAGTATTATTTATTGTATTATATTTATAATTTTGTTCTGAAAGTCATGTGTTACAGGAAAAAGTTGTTAAAATGTAATCAATATGTAATCATTGAACAAAACACTTTTTTTTGGTTTTTTTTCAGCTTCAATTACAATGTACATCAGATATTTATTAATAGAGAAGCAAAATGAATCATCACACTTTGTTAGGTCTTCATGCAATATGTTTACATTATGTGTGGGATTGATGGGCTGCACTGGAATGGGCATAGTTGCAACTTTTCAGGTATGACCATAAATTTCGTAACAAAAATGAAAATAAGCTTGTTTTACCATTAAAAATTCCAACTAGATAACAGTGATTAACATTATCCCCATGCGGACCCTTGGAAATTGAGAAGCTTGTTTTACCATTAAAAATTCCAACTAGATAACAGTGATTAACATTATCCCCATGTGGACCATTGGAAAAGCATAAGAATGCTTTTCTTGCTCTTGCCTTTTTTCTGTAGCTTTTCAGCAACAGACTTGGTTCCTCCCTATACAAGAGAATTTTTGCTTGTGCAGTTTTGCCATTAAGGAGTTTTTTGTGTGCTTGTCTTGTAACAGATCTGTACTGTATGGATGTTCTTGCTGTAAATTTTTTCCTGTGAAAACTTGAATGTAAAACATTTTGCTATTCCAAGTTTAGTTCACTTATAATCAGGTAAGGCAGTATAAGTCAGACTAACAAAAGCATCTGCATTTTTGGCTGAATGATGGCATACTCACCAGCAGAATTTTCTACAAAATAAACTAATCTTATCTGACAGATTTTTTTTAGAAAATTGAGCACAATATCAGCCTGTTAAACTTTTGAGTCTGTAGGAAATGGCATAACAACATGTTTTATCTTTTGATAGAGACATGTAGAACTATGCTTACTTTGCCAGAAGTATCTTATTACAAACCAAAGCTCCCCCCTCAGTGTCTGAAAGAAAATTCAGTAGGGAGAAAAATACTGAAACAAATTATTCATTTCAACTTTTCTAGTGAGGAAGTATATAATAAGCTAGATTCTGACACAAATATTAGAACAATTGCACTTAAAGCTTCAGCCTAGAATCAAGTTAAATTCAATTGGCAGATGGCTTGAGATGTTGCCTTAAAATCTGTGGAAACAGCTGCATTATTTCTTTTAAAGTCTGGTCTACCTTGGAACATTTTATTAAATACCATTGTGCTCATATAGTGACATGACATACACAGAAATTGAAAATAAAGATTGTTGGGCCTTCAACAGCCAGTACAGTTTTACATGTAATGGAAATAGTATTTTCAGACAAAAAACCCCTCTGCCTTAGGATGACAACTTGCCCTTTTTAGCTTTGCATCCAGGCAGTGCGTGTGGATTGCAAACATCACAGGTACTGTGGTTTTTTAAAGTTTTAGATTTTAAAGATTATTCTAATCATATTGTACTTTAAAATATCCCTGTTCTTATTGATAAAATTTATATGCAGCACAAAAAAAAATGTTGGATGATGCCTGACTGAAATAGAAACCAAACTCAATAGGGAAAAGACAAATCAGGAATGCAAAATAATTTGTGAGAGTCAGGGATGCAGAAACTTTGATCCTAATGTTTCCAAAGGGATTCCTTGACAGTTATAACACAGGTTCTTATCTAATCTCTTTTGTGTCTCATTGCCAGTCCATAAACTCCTTCCTCACTTAACTTCTATTTCCTCTGCTTTGACCCTGCTTTCCTTGTTAAGTGCAGTTTAGAATGGGTTCTGAGCATAATAAGGATCTAATCTAGCTAAGCATCTGATCTAGCAGATTCTCAAGCATCCTTAATTGCCCGAGAAGCTGGAAATGGTGACTTGCAAACCTTCAATCTTTTCACTGTATATGTACAACTAGTGAACAGTACATTCTGATCCCTATTTGCCAACAGAATAACTGAAACATGAAGAGGATGTGAGATTTGCTCAAGGTCAGGTGATGTTTCAAGTCAGGAGATCAAAGCAAAACTGGAATTAGAAATTATTCCCTTAGTATTCTAGTTCCTCTAATCAGTACATCATGCAGAAAATTTACATTCATGTGCACTACCTGCTAGTTTCTTCAGGTAACAGCAGCTAACCATTGTGCTGATTCCCTTTCCAGGAGCTGGCTGTTCCCAGTGTCCATGACATAGGAGCTTTGGTGGCCTTTGGCTCGGGTGTTGTATACATCACACTTCAGTCTATAATCTCCTACAAGTCCTGCCCACGATGGAACACTTACTTTGTGTGTCACATAAGGATGGCCATATCTGTCATATCTGTCATTGCTTTCATTCCCAGTATCCTTTGTGGTGTATCCTGTGGTTTTCCCTTTATTGTTCATGGTTTTCCTTTTAAGTTAAAACATTGCTGATAAAAAATAAAAATGAGGTCACACTCTTTACTTAGGGCTCTCTAATGTGTATAATACAGCATGTTGAGACACCGTTAATAGCACAAAGATGAGTTTTGGGAACTTCTAAAAAGCTTTATCTCTTATTTCAGTGGTATTTTTAAAAACAATGTCCCAGTGTTTTCCACAGAATCATGCACTAGTGAAGCTAGAGCAGCTTTTCAACTTCCTTCCCTCGAAGGAGAATAGGGAGGAAAGTCTGAAAAAGGGAGCTACTGCTTCTACAATGAATCAAACCCACATTGCTTCTACAATGAATCAATCACACAGAAGTTAAAAACATGGGTGGCATACAAGCCTAAGCAGATGAAGTGAAGCTAGAGCAGCTTTTCAACTTCCTTCCCTCGAAGGAGAGTAAAGTCTGAAAAAGGGAGCCACTGCTTCCATAATAAAGCAAAAACACAGAAGTTAAAAACATGGGTGGCATAATAGCCTAAGCAGATGATTTTGACCATGCTGCTTGGTTCTTCACCTCAGTAGTCACCTCTCCTAAAGCCACACTGCACAACTTCCTGGCTTTTCCCTTGGCATGCTGTAATTAGTAGTCTCACTGATTTTATTTGCCTTGGGTGGTCTGCCAAGTGTTGAAAAGTGATTGCAGCAGCTCATCACATAAGCCAGCCAGCTACAGCCTGCTTTTGGTTCCAGCAGCTGTGAAGGGGCTTTGGAAGAGGGCCTCAGTCCTGAGAGGAAGTTGTGCAAACACATCAAGGCACTTTCTGTGCATCACTGGAAACCAACACTGTTCCACTTCCAGCAGTGCAGGACTCGCTTCCATAGTTGTTGATCACAAATGTCACCTGAGTTTGGAGTGTCTCCCTTACTGTCTATACTTTGAAAGAACCTACAGAAACCTTCATTTGTGCAGAAATGTGTTTTGGTTGCTGTTACCACTTGCCTTGTAATAAGGTGTTTCATTTACTTGTATTCTTAATACCTTGATTTGATATGGTGGCTGTTCAGGGTCTCCTGTTCTACAAAAGGGGAAGATGGTCTGGGTTTTGGGTTGGTTTTTTTTTGAAAGCAGATATTTTCATTTTTAGTCACTGATATTGTATAGTTTCCTTTACACTGTTTTTTCCCAGTGATTGTGTTTGCTTCAAAAATTTCCATGACAAGAATTGATTGGACTCCAGGTGAAAAGGTAAAATTGTACTAGGTAGCCAACTTACCTTGTGTGATATTATTTGGGGAATGCTGTTATATTTATCTTAAAGCACTACAAAGATGTCAGAGGCTTCAAATAGCACATTATCATGAACAGATTTGTGCAATGCTGATTTCCAGTCACTTCTTCATTAGAAAGGTGACTGCGGTGTGGGTAAGAAAACTTGTCATGGGTGATCAATCTTGAAAGAGTTAGACTTTCATTTTGACTGAGAATTTGAAAGTTTCCCATAGAAAAAGACTACAAAACAAAATGTCTGGAAATTAGTTGTTCTACTTCCTTTTATAGTCAATTTTCTTGAAAATGAACTTTTCACATGAAACAATAACTGGACCAATTTAATTCTGTAGTTTTTGAGGTTTTTACAATATTGTATATCTCAGCTTTTTTTATCATTCTTTATTAAATAGTCTTTGATACTGCCATAAATGTTTGGAATCTGACCTAAAGCATCCTAAAGTTAATTTTAGGTATTTGAATTGATTTCAATGTTTCCAGAATGATAACTATGAAAACTAATTTTTTTGGGGCAATTTTGCTAAAAGGAGGTATTAAAAAACCCCAACCAAACAGGTTAAATAATGCAGAGAGTATATCCTGCTTGAAGAGCTTAATAAGAGCACACTTAGCAAATGTACCACAACCAAACAGTGGCAAGGCAGCTGTGAGATAAATCTTTGCAAATTTGACAATCTTAGTAATATCTTCAGGGGTTTTGTGGGTTTTTATGTGATGCAAAGATGAAAAAATGGTTTTACTGAAACAGATGGCATATTTGGTGATGGCATGTTAAGAAACACTTTTCATTCTGTTTGTGTCATGTGACATAGGTTTACAAGGACAGTCTTAAAAACAAAAGTCTTGTCAGGAACTGTGATTAAGGGTAGCCCTCCATTTCAAACCATGGTAAGGATTTGCTCAGAATTACTGAGCTCAGTGGCTCTGAGTGACAGCTTGGAGCACGGGCACATCAGTAATTTTAATGTAACAACTGGATGTTTTCAGGTTTATATTATAGTCAACCTTTGTTTTGATACTGTGCCAAGTGTAGTTTTCTTCTACTGCCTTTGATGGTCTGCACAAGACTTAGTGTAACACGTGCACCTTGATAAATTTACTCACCATTCTGTAAAAAGAAAATGTGAGTTGACTTTTATACAGCAGGGATGACAAGTCCTAAATCTTACTTGCTGCATTTACAGAAGGAGATGTCTATATCATTTCACCCATGTTTTATTTAGCTGTTTAATCTGAAAATTTGTTTTATATCTCACTCCATCAGGATTATACTTACCATTTTATAAGTGCAATCTGTGAATGGACAGTGGCCTTTGGTTTCATCTTCTTCTTTTTAACATTCATTAGAGATTTTCAGGTTGGTATTCACACATTTTAGCAGTGACTAAGTGCTATGAATTATATAACAATGCAATAGAAAATTACCATTCTTTACCTAGATAGATGCATCAAGGCTATACAGAAACAAATGTTGCCAAGCACAGAACTGATTTCTGTCTACATAATGAATATTCTCCCCCTTGATTATAAAACAAAAAATTCAGTTTAATGTTCAATGTGCCTGTTCTTCAAAATTAATAATAATCAATTATTTACCACTCTTTTTGTAGAAAGAGTCCCTCTAGAGGTGATATAATAACAAATAAACAATGCAACTAAAACTTTGTTTCTTTCTGCCTGAGGGATTTTATATAATAATCCAAAGCTTTTCAATAATTGATGTTTTACACATTTTGCGCACATTATGTTTCCTTATACAGCAAAGAAGATGAAATAATTTTTGGAAAAGTATTGACACAAAAGCCCTCTGGTTTGGGTAGCTGGATTCAGAGTTAACATATATTTTGGTAACCAATAGCAAACATGTCTGTTTAGTTTTGACTTAGTACTGAATAGGTCATAGCTGCAGGGCTTTTCATAAACTAAAAAAAAAAAAAATTAAAAATAATAAAATAAAATAAGCTAGGTTCAGCAGAGAAAAACTAAAAAAAAATAGGTGTTCTGAATTACACAACACATGATCTTAAAGATATATAATTGCCTTCTAAACCTGATAGAATTATTGAAAAACCATTCCAAAATATCTGTATCATTTAATGCATGATTTTTGGGGGACGTATTTATAACCAGTCCATCACTCTTTTATTTTTATATATATGATCTCTTATCAAAGGTCAAACATTTTCCTAGGAGACAGAGATTTGCAGGACAATGCAATTCTAAGAATATTTATCAACAATCATTAGTTGATAATTCTGCTTCAGACACATAAAAACTTTTACTAAATATAAATATTTTGAAAATAAGAGAAAGTGATGAAATTAAAATGGAATTGTGGCCATTTTAAATTACAGGCTATGAAATAGCAAGAATCCAATGTTAGGGTTTGACAATGACAGAAAAATTTTTTAGATTCTGCCATATTCTAGTCATAACCAGTGCTCAGAGAAAACCAAATTATTAATTCAGTAAAAAATTCCTATCATACTCAAAGAAAAATAAGATTTTTTTTTTCAAATTTTCGTCCAGTATTTATTTCACTTTAACATTTGTTTCTTTTGTTTTGTTTCATCTCCTTGTACTTTATATGTGAAATTAAATTATCCTGAGCTGATCTTGCTTTATTTTTCTTTTAGAGATTTTCTTTAAGGATATCCACAGAAATACATGAAGAATCCTGATAGTGAAAGAACAATATTTTATATCTATGAATATTCTAGGTTTCTTTTTACTCAGAAAAAGTGGCAGAGGCACAAGGATTGATAAGGTTGTATTAAGAACCCATGCCATTAACTCTGCACCAGCAAGCACTAAAAGGTTTTAAAAACTCGGAACAAGGTTTCTCCTGCCTTTTTGTAATATTTTGTAATTTTTATATTGTTTGATATATTAAAAATACTGTAATAAAAGCAATATCTAGAAGCACCAGAAAATCACTCAAGAACTTGATCTCCTCAGCTCTTCCATTTTGGACATATCTGTACTTTTTTAATTTGCTGTAGTGTGATCAGTAGCATTAGTTTTAAACTTGAGAAAGTACATTTTGCAAAGAGAAAAGTGTAAAGGCAATGGAAATCACTAGGACTGAATTCCTACTCTGTTAGGTTGCAAGGGCTGGAGCAGATGGTGAGAGCAAGAGTGGGATCATTGTTTGAAGAAATTTGAAGTTAATAGATGTCAACACTATGCTACATATTTCTGATACTGGGCACTGTAATGCAAATGCAAATGCAAATCCTAAGAGAAATTTAAACTATATTGCTTGAAAAATGTTTTCTAATCATCACTGCAGTACATGTTGTAAAAATCCACCCCTTTTACCCTTTTATGCACTGACGGCCACAGGAAACAAAAGACAGAAGTGGGAATAGAAAGTAAATTGACATATAAGCATGATGTAATAAAGATAAATCTTATTGCAACTTCATTAATATAAAGCAGAATTTTCCAGCCGGTGTTTTAATCTACAATGGAGTGAAGGTCTCAAAAAAAGTCTTGGGAATGCATGGAAAATAAGAGGAGGCAGTAGTTTTCAGGTACTTAGAAATAAATGTATGAGTATTACATACCTAAAACTGAATTAAAAAACAAACCTGGAGAGCATCTGTAATGAAGATATTTGCTGCTATAGAATTATTTCTGTAATGAAAGATTGGAAAGGAACTAATTGAGAAGCCAGAAGCTACAAGTATCTGCAGTCAAAAGGTTCTTTCATGGACTGATTCACCACCTCCATTCAGTGCATTAATCATTCAGTTGTGAATTATGTTCTCTGAAAATTACATTTTCCACACTATCACAGTTTATGCAGAAATATTGATGATTTTCAGTTGCTAATATCCACTAACTAATGTGTGTTTGGAGAGTGATGTCTTAAGATTAGTCATCTGTTAATATTTCTTTTAATGTGTATTTTAAACTGTATTAAATTCAGCTGTTTCACAACTTAAAGAGTTGATGTTTTTGATGTTTGTAAGTTCTTCCAGATAAAAACAGATAAAAGTGTTTATTCTCCATTTGCTTTCAATAGTATTCAGGTTATCTTGAAGATGTTTATAGCTACAACCAAGTTAAAAATCAAATCTAGTACTGATTAAGGATGGATCTTGTGTCTTACTGACTGGGTATTCTGTAAGGGACACACATTCCTTCAAGTGAAGATCATAAAGGAAATGTGTATCAACCACAAAAAGTGACATCATGTTACTTTCAAGGCTCTGTTAAGAAAAGAGCATATTTCCTAGTGCATTGTGCATTAATTCTTTTATTGCTTTTTATTCTTAGCTTTCATAAATTATAAGAAGCAAGAAGTTGTTATTTTAAATAATAGCCAACCTTTACAGTGCTTACAGTATCCTAAAGGGAAGAAAAAAATTTCAGAGAAAGTGGCTGAATCAAGATCACGGTAGTCCCCAAAGTCAAGAGGTAAATTCAAGTATTGAATTAAATCCTTCACATTTTCCTGAGCTTTACTGTGATACATTTTAATATGAGTTAGATGAATGACCAAAAGAATGCACCAATAGTGCACCTTTTATTACATCTGTTAGGCCTAAGACCTCAATGTGCATTGACATGCAGATAGAGGCAATGGATTATTATTTTTTTTATTTGTGCAGTGAACAACTATTGAAAATATTTTGATTTTTCTCTGTCTCAATCAGATTTTCAGTCAACAGCTTAACTATTTTTTTCAGTAGAAATGTGAGTTGACAAGTTGCAAGCAATTGCCAAAATAATATTCTAGCAAGGTATAATCTAGCTGTGGCTGACTCTTGTTAAATACTGCACTTTGATTTTTTCAGGCAAGTGATCTCTAGAGGTTAGCACAGATAATGTCACATTTCTGTTGCTTTGCTACAGGTCCTTTTTTTCTATATTTTCATATTTCTTAGCAACAATAAATAGCTTTTTTTTTTGTTGTGGAAGATATGCTACAAATATTTTCATCATCTACTCTGCTTGATGTTCTCTAGTTGTCAGCACATCAGGAGTGATTGAGAAATTCCTTTTGCATAAACTCCAGTAAATCACATGATACTTGCTGTTATTTTTAGTGGTTATGCTAAATCATTCTACTGCTTCCAAAAGTGCAAAAGCTAATTTTTCTAGGTTGCATCTTGATCTGCAGATGAAACACCACTGTTGTGGTCTCTGTCACAGTTCCAGATCATGTAAGGATGAAACTCTTAACAACTCAAAATACCTAAAACTCCCTTTGTCTTAGGACACTGTTACTTGCTCTGCTTTGCCTTCCAGTGCACACTAAGCTAGTGATGACCTCGTTACTGGCTTTTCTCTTAAGGCAAACTAAACTTTAATTTCTGGTCTGCTCAGTTTGTGTACTGCCTTACCTCTAACAGCAACATATGTTTGACAGTAGTACAATAATCTTGACGTCAAGGTACTTATTTCTTGCTCTTAATACTGGTAGCAAGACTTCCAAGCAGATTAGAGGGATTATGGCAACACATCAGTGAATTTTGGACATTCCAGAGTGAATTTTGTAAAGAGTTTCAAGAGCTTGGTATTTCAAACTCCTCTGTAAATACAGTCTTAGTCTCAATATTGACCACATTTTCACAAGCCTTCAGGCTTTAGAGCATCTGTTTGCAGACTGCAGAGGGTGGGGTTGGTTCCCTGTGATTTACAATGTACACTAGAAATATTGTCTCTGGAAGAGGCTGGAAGAGCTGTTCTCCTCCAAGAGACAGTGAGTGGCAGCAGGATGCATGTATTTTAAGAGGGGATAGTATTTGTTTCCTTGGAAAATGAGTAAATGCCCATTTATTTGGGAGAAATGTGGGCAAGTAGCAATAGGCTTTAATGCATAAATTCTCTTTAGCTTTGACTAAAAACTGTATGTATTTTAAGAGGGGATAGTATTTGTTTCCTTGGAAAATGAGTAAATGCCCACTTATTTGGGAGAAAGGTGGGCAAGTAGCAATAAAAAAATTTAATGCATAAATTCTCTGTAGCTTTGACTAAAAACTGGGTCAGAGCTGGGTCTGTCTTTCACTGCATTTGTGTGTGTGCCAGTGCCCATACAGTCACACGTGCACACACGAGCAGTACTGGCATGATGAGGCCTGGCAGTGGTCAGAGTCCTGCATGTTGCTGCAATACACAGAAATAAAAATTGCATGCTGTATTTTATAAACAATCACAGCAATTTAATCAGCTTTGGCTATATCTTGGATTGGTAATATAATTCAGAAAGAGCGTTTCTCCCATCTCAAGGAGAAAATAGGCAAGTCCTACATGTGGTATCTGTATTTTTCCCTGTACACAATAGATGGCACTAGCAGCCCACATGATTTGGGTTTATTTCCCACGTTCAGGCAAGCAAGTACAGCAGTTTTGTAGGTAGCTTTAGATGATTTTAATAGTTGCCTGGAGGCCCAGTCAAACAAGTTTTGTATTGTGCCTTTGTGGAAAACAAGTCGGACCTAAGTTTCTTTGCCATCCCTTCCTGCCTTCATCTAAGTAAATATGTTTTGCTACTGCCATGTGTAGCCTCATAGCAACTTTAATTTTGAATTAAGTTGCCTAAGTCAGAGGAGCCACTTGCTGCAGTTATCACTGGCACATGCTGACATCCAGCTCTCATTACTACACCACTTCTCCTGGGAAGCTTTTCCTACCCTGTCACAAAGAAGGTACATTTCCCATGGTTGCTTCAGTAGAATCCTGTCGGTTTGCAGTGGGGCATTAGGAGACAATATAGACCTTGTTTTCATGAGACAACAGTATAGAAAGAACAAGATTTTAACATTTCAAAATTGTAGCCAGTCTGCATCCAGAAAAAGTGACATGGCTGATTGTGAAAAAATTTCAAACGTAGCTGCTGTATCTATTTAAAAATGCACTTTGCATGTAAAACGTCTTTTTCCAGTTATCTCCTTGCCTAATAAAACAGTTAGCATTGTCTTCTGTGAAGTCTAGCAATAATGCAGGCTTCTGAACATTATCTTACCTGGAATGATACAAGTTTAGCATTCACAGTCTTAAATAAACCATGATGAGCAGCATGGATATTTCTTTAGAAACTCCCACCAAATGTTGTATGGATTTTTGGAAAAATAAATATAGAAAGTGCTCTGACAAAGTATGAGTGATTCATTATTGATAAACATCTTTAACGCAGTAGAACTTTCTTACTCCGCAAGCACTCTCCCAACACACACTCATAAAACTCATTAGAGGTACATTTCAAAGAAGATTTCTCTGATGAATGTCTTGACTTCCATCATGAGATCTGCAGGAACATTCTCTGCAGCTCTGCTTCTATTCGAGATATTAGCAGCTGATGGATGTCCATGCAAAGAGGTGTCTTTCCTTCCTCTCACACTGCATCAGGTGGCTGAAACATATTAGGTGGTTTGCAGGGAGGTTTTTCTTCTGGTTTGAATCATTCAAGAGGATTTTTTGATAATAAAACAATTTGTGGGGGTTTTTCCCTTTGAAAATTATAAATAGAACTTTGTGCTCCTTTGAAATTTCAATGGGATTACACATAAAATCTTGACTACTACTTAGAAAGGATGTTGACATAGGTCTTGCTCTTCAGGCAAAAATGTAACATTCAGAAATTGCACCAGATGAAATAACACTCTTTTCTTATCTATTAGCCTTTTAGATATATTTAGCCTTTGACAATACAAAAATTCAACGGGAGATAAGAAGCTTCACTTGAAGGAAAAGTGATCTTTTAACCAACTAAAATCAAATTACAAGACTTCTACTGACTTTAAATGTTAGTATTTCTTCCACTGTTGAGCAAGTGCATATGTTGTTCACAGAGTCTGGGGATGTTTCCTGCATAGATTCTGGTGTCAGCAGGATAATCTCAGGGATGAATTTGGGAAACAAGTTATTTCCCTGTAAGCAGTTTGAAGGAGACATCAAGATCTAAGACTCTGCTTGTTCTGCCTCTGCTCCTTAAACCCAGCTTGGTTTCTTTATTGAAGAAACACAAATTGAGAGTTCAAAGTGAAGTACTTAGACCTGAGTTCTCAGAACCGATATCACAAGTACAACAGGATATAGTTCTGATTAAGCCTCTAATGACATTTAATTTGAAATTCAGCGCAACTGTGTGAAGATGGCACTGTGACAAGATCTGAGACATCCCCAAGTAGCTGTAACAGTCTTAGAAGCAACTGAGGAAGCAGGATCCAAGCTTCAGCAAGCACTTGTTTTCTCAGGATTGTGGAAGCTTTCCATTGGCTTGGCTTCCTCTGGGTTTTGGGGGCACGGAGATGGCGCCATTTCTTATTTCTCCCTTTGTCCTCTGTCCTTCTGTGTTACCTAATACTCAATTCACACAAATTGTGTTGGCAAACAGCTCTCCCAGTATGTTAGTATTAGGATGTGGTTTCTGTGATTCTGTTCCAGAAATCATCTTTCTTCATGACAGTCAACAAATTAGCCTTACTTTCCTCCATTTTGTGGTCTCAATCTGATGTCTGGGGAATTTGAACGTATGCAGGTAGTAAGTCATGGGTGCTCTCTGACCTGACTGCAGACCAAAATCAACTCTCAACTGAGATCCTGCCTACAGCTGGCATGGCTGGTTAGCTTAAAAGTGTTTAAACCAAATATTTGGGGTAATTATAGTATTATAGCAGATTTTAAAGGGTGATTGCCAGTGCTGTCAAAGGGTGAAGCTGACATTTTTTCAGTACCCCTCCTTGCCAAACAGCTTTAAAATTTGAAGGCTATTATTGTACTAGCATAGTTCTTTAGTCTTGAACTGAATTTAAAACATGCTTACTGTTTAGGATAGGCAATACAAAATCCTGATCGCTACTTTCCTGGAATTTCAACCAAAAGGAATGGTACAACATTATATAATCATGTTTTTTAAAAATCAACTTGCAGTTTTACATGGCATCTTGTGTCTGCTCGTGGCAGCCAGAACTGAGCGTTGCCATTGAAAACAGAGAGTCATGGCAGTATATTCACTCCAAAAATACCTTCTGGTTGCAAAAATATTTAACAATGTTAAGACTAAAGAGGAGTGAGAGGAAACTAAAGAAAGACAGGGTTGGAAACTGTTCATAGCCCTGTCAGATAAAAATTCACCGTGGAAAAAGGCACAAACAGACAAATAAAAAACAATTTCTGGAGTAAAAATTCAATCCGGCAGATCACTAAGTCTTCTTGAGTAGGGCTGAAGGGTGAAAGGCGGTTGACCCTCAAACCACTCAGTTAAATTCAGTGAGCAGAAAGCACTGGGCATCAGGCATTCTGCTCGGGACTGGGGACAGATAAGTCTCTCATGGATTTCTAGGAAGAGCAGAAACTCTGCCTTTGCGCGTAACTCTTTTGGAAAAGAGGTTTAGGAAAAAACAGAAGTCTTGGAAACTAAAATCCTAGCAATACCATAGATGGGTTATTGAAACTATCCCATAAATCACAGTAGCAGTTAGACATCAAGGCAAAAGGGGAATTAGTGATTCTTTTCCTCGAAGGGCAGCTGGATATGGGTCTTCATCAGGATTGTGTAACCGCGTTGCAGAAGCAGCAGTTCCTGTGTGTTTGGGGCAGTTTTGTCTGTTACTCTCAAGGCACACAGACTGAGAAATAGGGCAAAAGATTGGAAGCTGACAGAAAGGGTAAGAAAGAGAAGAGTCCCTCTCCTCTCTTCCCCTAAGAAAAGAGGGGAAGGAAAAGGTAGGATTTTGCCTCAAGGTCTGTGGAAATGAACATGACACTTATCTCTGGCCTCAGTGGAAATAAAGAAACACAGAGAGACCCCTTTATTACCCCGTAAAGAATTACATTGAATGACATCAAATTACAAAGAGGAATCAGAAAGCATTTTTCTGCCATTTTCTGGACACTAAAGGTCAATTCTTTGATAGGTTTCTTGGGAGTCAAGTTATATGGAAACCACAGTCCCAGGACCTGGAGAAAAGGTTCCTGTTCACAGATTGCAGCAGGAGGAGTTCCCCTTTCTGTGCATTTTCAGTGTAGAATTTGGGATAACAGGAGGTTGTTCTTGCTTCTAAAGGTCCCCACATAGCTTCTGGTGGGAAGACACCAGATTGTTTGGCAATCCCACAGGGAACACAGGGGAGATTTTTGCCAGCAAAAACGCAGACTAGAAGAGGAACAGAGTCTCTCTAATGAAACAGTGAAGGATGAGCTACACAAGATGGTTGAGGTTATCTGCTTTTGTCCACAGTGTCATGTAGAAGACTCTGAATAGGGTGTCATTGTGGGTGCAAGGAGGGTTTGCTTAATTGAGATGAGTTCTCCATTCCCAGCAGCTAATGATGGCTGAAATACATCTCAAAGAAGCATGGGAAGACTGAAACCTAAGTGAGGAGACCTGTGCTTGTCACTGAGAAAAAAAAAAAAAAAAAATAAAAAAAAAAAAGAAAAAGAAAAAGAAAAAAGAAAACCAGTGAAATTGGAAATACAACAGGTGCAGATCTAGAAACCTCTGGTCAGTCTAATGGACAAGTACTGGTCTGGAGAGACATAAAGGGAAGAGGACTATGCTAATGCAACTGGACGAGCCTCAAGCTAAATGATCATCCACTAAATAATATGTAATGAAGTCTTAAAACATCTGTTGATGATCAGGAGTACAGAGATTCTAGCAGAAAAGGGTGAAGACAGCTCTTCTTACCAGTGTTTATACTGGCCTGCATTAGGATCAATCAAATGTGCAGTGATACTTCACCCAACCAAGCCTATGGATTTAATGCTCATCTATGAAATACTCCACAAAGGAGACTGTTCTGTTGGTCTACTGCTAAACCACTCTTTATTGCCAATCTGAACCCACTCCTTAGAGTATATTTGTTGCTGCCCTTATAATTTCTTTTTGGGTTGTTGTGAATTTTCAGTATAATTTTCTTTAAACAAAAGAACACGTTATTCAGAAAGTGCCAAGCAGCATCTTTATAATGATTATGAAATCTCCTATAGAGCGTTTCCTGTTAATTTTCATAGTGTTTTGAAGAAAATTCTTTTGAAGGCTTTTATAGGCTCTTGTCCAACATATCTGGGGAGTCTGTTTTTCAACATCTAGTTTTACTCTTTAACATTTATTTATGGCCACTTCAGTGCCTTTAGCTTCCTAGGATTGTAAAATATTTTTTTAACCACCTTACTGATCTTAGATTTGCACAAATTTGGACAGAGGCCAGCTGATTCACTAGTAATTAAGGTATTGTTCCTAAAACAACTTCATTTACTGCTGGTGTTCTGCTTTGCAACGCTGTGTGTGAAGAGGTGCACAGAGCTGGCTCTGTTTGGGCTGCCTCCAGCTACACCAGATACTCTTTGTGCAGGGTACAGGCAGGAAGCTATAGAGGCTGCAGTTCACAGCAGAGATTGAAAACAGGACATGAATTACAGTGCAAGCTCCTTTCAGAAACCTTGTCATTTTTGTCACCTTTTTCCTCACTGTCTTTTTCTTTTTACTTCATTTTTATACGTGCTTATTTTTAAAGAATTCCAGTTGGTGTCATCTTTTTCCCCACCCCCTTAGCTGTGAGTGCTTGTTAGGGCTGCAACATAAGATTTAGGACAAACTGCAGTGATTTAGGCTTCTGGTACTTCCTGGCTACTTATAAAAGTCAAAGTAGCTGGGAACTTCTTCTATCTGCATTTACAGTGATGGGAGCAACTGTTTTTATGATGGATCCTCTTGAAATATAAATGGAAGTGTCCGTGTCTATTCCCTTGAGATCATGTCCTGTTTGCTGCTGCTTTTTGTTCTACATATTGTTCACGGTAATTATTCTGCTGGTGCATTAAAACTGGTTCTCCTTTGCCTTTCAACTCTGCCCATAACACACTGCTTTGTACACAGCTCATTATTTCTTTACATCTACTTCTGCAAAGGGACAGTGCTGTTTCAAATAGGGCAGGAATGGCTAAGCCCATCATCCAACTGCCCAGGTGTCCTCAAGACAGTGTGTCTTTCTGCAGGTCATAGTGCAGCTGACATCTGGCATCCCACACAGAAAGAGAGGATTCTTTGGGTGAAATGTTCTCAGTCAGTACATACTTAAAGGTAGCTGGAAATTGGAAGAATATGAGGGGTGTCCTGCTAAGTAGGACAACTGTCTGTAGGATATTCTGAAAGAAGGCCCTAAGAAAGAAAATTATGAAGTGAGAAACTGTTTGTGTAAAGGATAAATTGTTCAAAAATTAGGTATTGTTATTAGTTCTGAATTAGCTCCTCTGATGTTACATCAAGCCTTATTAGCCTTCTTTTAGCAAAAAACTGAGGTTGTTGCTTAACTTTCTGGAACAAGACATGAATTCCTGAATTCCATTGTTTTTCAGAGGCTGTGGTTTGATTCCCAGAACCAAAATGAATCTGATGCTTGAGCTGGCATATACCCTTAAAGCATTCCTAGATCAGGGTTCTGAAAAGAGAGGCTTTGGTTTCAAAACCTCTTCCACATTAATGGGTTCCTTATGTGTGATAATGGTGCAATTATGGGAGATGGAGAACCAGACTGAGCAGTTGCCCTTTCATGTTCATTGGAGGGGAAGGAGTAGATATTGGGGGTCATGGTGGGGGAAATTTGGCCTAAGGAGGAAAACAAAATCTTCTAACCATGTTACATGGCATCTACCATGTTAAGAAGGTTGTTTACAAGAGAACTCATTCAACAGCATCAAAATCTTGTGGCATCTTCCCATGCTGCTTGAATTTAAATCACATTCTGTTCCTGTCATGCTCATCTGCTCAATGCCTTCAAGGGACATTTGCAGAAAAAGCCCTGTTGCTTACTGGTTTTGGTTGACAGCAACTTGTGAGGCAGGTTGTGAGTGGTTACCAACACTGCTTTTATCTCCTGAGCACCGGAGTACTCAGTGCACAGTTGTTACTGATGGGGCTGGGCTGTGTAATTCCTGTTTTCTGTTTGTCATCACCTGTCAAGCAGTTGAATGCATCAATGAAAATTTGGCTCCAGCTGTACAAATTTATATGGGCTTATCATTGCCCCTACATGTGTTTGAATGACTGGCCATGAGTTCTGTACACGGCTGAGAAACACAAATGAACATGAGCTTCTCCTGGAAAGAATAAACTACTTGTACTATACAATGACATAACAGTAAGGATATCACAGAGATCAGCTTGGTTGGCACCATGTCCCTGGGCTATTCACCCTGACACACTGGGTTAATTAGCAAATTAGAACTGACATTTCATTTATCATTGTATCCAACTTCTTATCCAGAAATGGTGCTCCATGTACAGCAAGACCATTGACAAGTATTCATGTGCAAGAAGATCCAGAGCCAAAGCCAAAAAATGTTTTGTGTTCCTTTACACTCTGCCAAAAACTACAGGCTTCCCTTGCTGATACCTTCATGGTAGCAGTGTGGAAATGCCCAGCAAAGCTGGCAGGCCAAGGGTTTAGCATTCATAAGGCTGCAGATGTGTAAGTCTGGGACAGCTCTCTTTGTCAGTCCAGCCTGCACATGTGACTCCTTATTTGACTTGGCTGTTGGAGCAGTGTCAAAAAACATATCTTACCTCATAGGTGCCTATCAGAACTATCTAAATATGCTCTGGATTATGTATCCAGATTCAAAAGGACGGACTCCTGGATGGAAAATTTCAAAGCTATCCTTTTTTGTGACTGATACTGCTCCATCAGATGTAGTCTAATTAGTAGAAACTTGTCTTGGTTTCATGAAATGAAATCTCCAAATGGTTGTTTTCTCCCTTTAAAAAAAAAAATTTTAATCAGTTCTGTGTTTAAAATTATACTGGATGGAGGCAGAAAACTAGAGAACAGATAGCCAAAATCCAGTGTATATCAGCTTTAATGGCATACCCAAACTCCACAGACCAACACGGTGATTATATTAGATTGGGAAAATTCTTTTATCTGCCAGGATAAAAACTGCTAAGTTCCTGTCTTCTGAATCTATTTGGGGCACCAAATCTTCAATATTTTTTATGGAAAAAGCCCTGGAAGGTTGCTAAGCAGGTGGGCTTCAAATCTTGCCTTTTTTTAGGGGGCATCCTGAAAAGTAGAGCTGCCTTTCTCCTTTACTCAGCACTTAAGCTCTCTTGCAGGCTCAGAACAGTTGTGAGGCACAGGTATCCCCTGTGAACAGAGCAACTAATGCTCTCATTCAGAAAACAGATCTTGCAGTCTTGTTGCACAAGGGTGGAAGTAGCAGAGAAAAAATTCTCACTGGTTGTTATGTTTCATGTTGTTATGTTGCAATGCCATTCAGTGCCAAACCTTCTGTTCTTGTCACAAAGAAGCAAAATAATGTAGGTGAGAAACTTTGCTTATGAAAATCTGCACCGTCAGCCACCAGTATTTAATTTCCCTAGAATAGAAAAGTACTGCATAAGACTTTTTAATAAAGCCAAGGAAAGTCTTCCCTGGGAATCAAGGAAGATTTTTTGGGGTGATAACACAAGGCTACACCTCATGAGATGAAAAAGGAAAGATGTCCTTACAGGAATCACTTTGGGCTTTTTGAGGAACAAGTGGCATCAATCTGGGCAGAAAAGTCCATTAATTCTGAGTGAATACACCTAAACCCAAGAGTTTTTCTGAAGACGAGCCAACCAAATGAAGAAAATCAAACCATAAACTCTGTGAACTTTGTATGATGCTGAGATTTGTTTATCTATAACAAAATGGAGAAAAAAAGAGGCAGGAACACCTATCTGGTAACATGAACTTCAAAGTGCAAAATAAATATAAAGCTAAGAACCAGTCAAGCCCAGGAATCCAAAACAAAGTTTGTTCAAAACGTGAGCAGAGGCACAGCTGTCACAATGCTGACTTAGCATTCTTCAGGTTTCAAAGGAAAGTCAAGCCCATCAATATTTCCATATCCAAGTAAATCCATACCTAGTCTCAGCTGCAGACGCTGCTCCCATTCACCAGACAAAAGCACAGAATGTCAGTTGTCCTTAGAGATAAAAAAACCCCAACAAAACCAAATCAACCGAAAAACATGTGAATAATTGCACAGCGATATCATATTTCTGCCTGTTGTATAGAAACCAAATTGGACTTAAAAGTTGTCATAATTTCAGTTATGATTTGGAAAAGGGATTCCCAAGGAGAGTTTGTGAACCACCAGTCATCACAGCAATCCTCAGAACCACTGATAGTCCAGGCTTCTGACAAAATCTGCAGTCTGGCAATAATTCGTTGCTTTAATTTTTTAAATTATTACTGACTTGGAATATTTTTTCTGTCAATAATTTTTCATAAGAACAATTTTTTTTCTGCAGTCAGTTAAGTATTTCACTGAGTTTGATCCACAGCATGCAGTTCAGGGATCACATTCTTTTTTTTTGCTGCCTAATTGACTACTGCAAATTGCCTGCAGGAAACTTATAGAAATAACACAGGTTTTTCACAGGTGAGTAATGCTTTACCTGAAGAAAACAGGCTTTATTTTGCACTGTGTATGTAATTTATTTTAAAAAAATGAGTGAAAGTCTACAGAGTGTATTTCCAAAATGTTAATATGCTGACAGATCAGTAAATACAAGAGTTGAGCAAAGAGAATTTGAGCGATTCACTCCATTTAACTGGAAAGAGAATTTGCTCCCTGAGTCTCTTTGAAGTTAGAGGTCAGTGGGGTTATTTTCCACAGGCTTGCTGAGACATGAAGGAGGACAGGTGTTTCCATGGCTGGCCAGACTAACAGTGGCAGGAAGGATGGAACCACGCTACATTGACTTTATCTTAGCTCACCAAAACAAGGTTTCAGCTGTGGTTTTGAAGAAGCAGAAAGCTTGAATGGCCAGAGGCAGCAGCAGCTGATGAGAGCAGAGCAGAGAGCAGCCTGCTGTGAGATGGATGGATGGATGGATGGATGGATGGATGGATGGATGGATGGATGGATGGATGGATGGATATGTGGGGCTGTCTCCAGTAGAATCCCATAAAACTCTGGCTGTGACAGACACCTGTGGGCTCCCAGCTGTCAGAAAGGTTCATGCCACTTGTGAAAGCTTAGCACAGGAAGGACAAAACCCCAAAGAGGAGCCACTCTTGGGCACCAAAAAAAAAAGCCAGTCTCCCTCACTGCTGCCTTCATCCTCACTTCAGTTCATCACTATGGCAGTCTTGGCATGGGAGGCTGTTACAGTGCAAGACTTGGAATTAATTCCCCTCTCAGCTCCCATTCTTGCTCCTTGTTGCTGTTTCCAGTGTCTTCCTGACAACACTTAGCTTGGTAAAGTAGCACAACTGCTCTATAAATCTCAGGTACAGCTCTGCTGTCTGCAATTTAGACCAAATGGCAGCTCAAAATCTGGCAATTCCCTGCAGCCTGACTGCAGGAGGACTCCAACTTCTCCTGTCTTTGGTGGATTAAAATCAGTGGGAGGTAATTATTGTTATTTTTAGCAGAAGGCTAAAGTACAGGAACCATAAACTGGCTGGAAAAGTCTGAAGTGTGGAAAATCTGAAATTATTGAAAGGCTTGTTTCCAGTCTCCAGTTATTATCATAAAGCAGCAAAATGTGATTCTCTATCACTGAAGTTTTCTTACTGACTTGTCTGCCACATTTCTGCTGGCATCTCTCAGCACACGTGTCCTTGATCCAGCATTTGTATCTCTGATTCAAATAGCAACAAAGGAATGCAAGTATTTCAAATTTGAATTAGTTTGGATTGAATGTGAATTTTTGAATACTTCTGGACAGATTGCCTTCTAAAAGAAGCAACATAGAAACAAGAAGGAAAAAAAAACAAACATCCCCCCACCTTTTAAATTCAGTTTTCTGCACTGAGGTGGTTGTCTATCTTCCATCCCACTCCCCCAGTCACCCTGTGCATTTACTCTAGTATTTGTAGCACCACTTTGAGAGTAAGGTCCTTATGATTTTGCTTTGTGGAAAACTACATGCCAGCTTTAAAGCTTCTACAGTAAGTTTTTATTTATGAGTCATTTGTACCAAAACCAGACGCTTTTGGAACTGAATGCTGCCCAGTTAGGACATTTAAGGAAAACAAAAATGAAAATTTAATATTATAACTTTTTAAAGTTCCTTATAATGATCTGACAGCAGGAAAGCCCCTGCCTCACATGACATCTAGAATTTCATATTTTGTCATATACTCACCTAACTATATTACCACTGCCACATGTGGTAATTTGTATTTAGGCAGCATATCTGCACTTCTGCAACAGCTCAGGCATTATTATACTTGCTGTTTTAAAACAGGTGATACCAAGAACATTTTTGGAGCAGTCACCCTTTGGCCACATGTCCACACGTGCTGGTGTAGGGCAAAGGTTTGGTCAGCTGGAGCTCACACCTTCTGCTCTACCCTTACCTACTGGGGACCTCAAAGAACTTTTTTCCTGCTGGTCTGGGTTGCTCTCTCTCCTTCTCTCTTGCCATGATGGGTATATGACCAGAGCAAGTGATGGAAAGGATGAAAAAGTTCATACCTGCAACACACAGGGTTCCACTTTTTCCTTGAGCCTTTCTCACCATGTGGCAAAACATCTTCTACACAGAGGAGAAAAGGAATGAACACAATAATCAGCAGAACTTTGTCAATCAGAAATGCTTTCCAGTGTGCAATCCAAGCCATGCTTTTGCAAGGACAAGCCTTTTTTTTTCTGTAAGGGTGCTGGTTAATAAGCAGTTGTTGCAGATCTTAGACTGATGGTGTTAATAAAGACTAAAAAGACTGGAAGCTTTTAAAATAGGGAAAATCACATGACATGAATGGCACAAATTTCCATCTCTGGTAGAGTTCAAGGCCAGGCTGGGTGGGGCTGTCAGCAACCTGGTCTAGTGAAAGGTATCCCTGCCCACAGCAGGGGCAGTGGAACTGGGTGATCTTAAAGGTTCCATGCAACACAAACCATTCTGTGATTCTGTGACTTGATATTTCCTATATGCATGTTTTAAATATGGGACAAAGTCTGGGCTCTCTTGATCATTCACTTCCTCTTTGGTAATAAGATGCTTCTGGATTAAGTGTGAATTATTGTAAAAACATATGCAGAACAAATATGAGTGTCTCTACTCCTATTTTTTAATTTAAGACAGGATTGGGATGAAAAAGAAAGCCAAACCAACTCACAGTATAGCATAAAGAGAAAAAAAATACATAATATCTTCATTAAAGTGATATTAGCAGCTTTACACAAATATTTCTGACTGACCATAAGGATTTTTTAAAGGGAATGTGATAAAAATATTCTGAAAGGAATATGACAAAAATAATTGCTTTATAGTTTCATATGTATCAATTACACTTCCTTGCAAGTAGCTTTAAGTCTTTCAAACCCAGAAAACTGGTTAAAAAGTGGGTTTTTTTCCCAGAGCTTTCCATTAAACTTTTCCATCAAATGTTTGAAACTCACTGAACACAAAATAGCTGCACAAACATAGATGAACAATCTTCACAGTTGTGGAACTCAAGTTATTGCCCCTATGGTGCTCAGACAAATGATGCACAGTCATTATGACACTTGTTTTGGTAGACCTCTTGTTTGTTTGTGTGTTTTGTTATAAGGGAAGCATGAATTTTTCACATCTCCATGGTTCCACCTAACCAATTTGAGAAAATTTCCTACCATATAGGGCATATGTCACCATTTCTGTGTTTAATTATTTGCTACTCTCTTTCCTCATCAGGAATCCAAGTTACTAACCATGTCAGATGGAAAAGTACAAGTTTACTGACAGCTGCAACTGAGTTTTGTCTCTGAGGAAATGCAGTTCTAACACTTTGCCTCAAATGCTTGCCTATATATTTGGAGATGGCCAAGATACACAATTTATACCGTTCAGGCACTCTCCAGACATTCAAAGTGGAATAGAATTTTCTTTAATCCTAAATTTGCCCATTTTTCCACTTCACCAGCCAAAAAAATGTGTTTAGAGGATGCATTGCAGGTACCTGTGGTAATTGGATATATTTATCAGGGCATCAGATGTTGCACCTTTTTATTGCTCTGTCAGAAAAAACGTTTCCTTTTATTACAATTGGAGTTTTCAGTTTTCTGTCAAGGAACCCCTAATGTGTTTAGAGGATGCATTGCAGGTACCTGTGGTAATTGGATATATTTATCAGGGCATCAGATGTTGCACATTTTTTTGCTCTGTCAGAAAAATATTTCCTTTTATTACAATTGGAGTTTTCATTTTTCTGTCAAGGAACCCCACCAATATTCAGACAGCCTTTCGGGGCGTACTACTAGTGCCAGAAAATAAAGTTTTACCAGACCTCTTCCCACCATCTAGTTTATATGCATCACTGCCTATTTTTTATTAGGTGTTATTTGGTGTCTTTTCCACACCATCCCTCCTCACACAAGAAGAATGAGTCAACCCTTTTCTCACAGTCTCTGCTGCATATACGTATTACAGTTTCAAGCCAAAACTGGGCTTTGAGACCATTATGCGTTTTTTCCCCTAAAAATGCAAGCTGTAAATTGTCAGTTTTAAAGCTACCTGTGCAACAGTATAACCTGAGCTTCCTCTGCAAGTGCAGTGCCATTTGTGTTTTATTTTGCAGTTACGCTCCATATTCCCATAGGGAAGCTCCAATTTTGTTATCTTTCCTGGGTGGTGGTGCAGGGCAGCCATTACTTCCACCATTCTTGGACATGGTGTTTTGATGCTTTTAAGTTGAGGGGAGCTCAGCAGAAAATGTTGTACCAGAAAGGGGCAGGGAAATCCCTGCTGTGGGCTGCTGCACAGGTCCTGTCCCCCTCTCCCTCTTGCTGCTGTGGTGCAAGGCTGGGGGATACCAGGGGCACTGTCCTCACTGCACAAAGGGAAAAGTGGAGCTTGCAAAGATTTTACTGAAGATTGTAAAGTTCTGGTGGGGCTGGACCTTTCTTGGAGGAGAGATATAACTGAGGAGGCCAATCACCAGTCTTGAAATTCTTGAAGAAAACCCTCTGGTCTGATTTTCTAGCTTGGCCCCCTCCACACAACAAGCATGCCTGGTGATCAATGTGCAATGACTCGGTGTTCCCTGGAGTGGAATGTGAATTGCAAAGTCAACTTCACTTCAAACCTACCTCACCACTATGGATCTGGACTTCTGGCTCAGTGTCTGGACCCTGCTTGCTCTCCTCCTGCATGGTCTGAATTGTTTTTCCCCCTAACTTTCTCAAGAAAGAATTTTGAATCAGAAGTTTCAGAAACAAGTCATCCCAAGTAGGGCACCTGGTCTGGAATATTTCATCCCAATGATTGGAACATGGCAGGTCTAAAAATCTGCTTTAAGTGGGTCTGAAATTTTTATAAATACTTTTCTGACCTTTTGCAGGAAATGGATGCAGGGGATGAAGAGAAGCATAGAAAGAGGGGACTAGGCAAGTCAGTGAGGCATCAAGAAGGAGCTGGAGGAAGCAAGAGGAACAGGTCAGTCTTTCCTCTCCAGGGGCTCCAGTCATTCCTGTGAAAGAAAAAAGAATTGAAAATTGACTCAAGCTGCTGCAATTCAGATTCAGATGCACCACCACAGTGTAAGAGCTGGCAGGAACTGAAAGTGGCATTTTGACCAGCTCTGTCAGAGCTGACATTCTTTTGGGGAGTAAGGATAAAAGCTCTGGTTTAGAGACCTAAATATTATTCTTGCTATTGCCATGGGACTCTTTATGCACATTAGTGTCATGATGAAAGGGTTTAGAAGGAATGAAAACGTGACAGCCTGTAAGACAGAACACTAGGGGTAGCAGAAATGAAAGAGACTCTTAAGTCAGACCCCGAACTTCAGTCTTTGTTTAATCTGTGACTCATTTAACTATGGGGAAAAGGAAGCATTTGCTCGTGCTGTATTCTTTATCTTTTACTGAAAAAACTTCTACATATAAGACACAAAACCCACAGAGAAACACTGAGAAATATTAGCACTGGTGTTTCTCATATTTGCAGTCAACTATAAATTCAATTTGTAAGTGTGTCATCTTGGGAGTAAAATGGAGCTGACAGTGGTTAAAGCAGCAGTAACCTTCCCCTCCTCATACACTACAACCAAGAACTGGAGATGTCCCTCCTTGAAAATCAAACAATTTCAAAAATACTGAATTTACTGGGTCTTGTTCAACAATTTTTTTTGTGATTTTTGTTGTTGTTTTGTTTTTCCCCGTTTCTTCCTTCCTTGTTTTACATGCAGCACAGAAAATTTACAAAGAAAATTACAGGTGGCTTCTTGAGAATAATGATCCCGGAGAAGAGGAAAGGGACAGCAGCCCTAGGATGTTTTATATTTATAAATCCTAACTAAGAGGCTTCTGTTCCCTCTCATGCAACTTTACAAAGCTGTCTTGTCTTGAAAACAACAACCAAACCACAAAATTATTCTGCTACTGCTTTCCCAACACTACCATGAAATAATTCAGATATTGAACACTCTTTGGGTCTTACTTATTTTCTTTTTACTTGTGTTTTTTTAAAGAACAATTTCTGTAAGGCTGACCTAACATATCTGTGATTTCTTCTGGGAATCTTCAATGGAGGAGAAAAGCTTTTATGTGGTTTTGCCTTCCCCATTTCTTCTTTCCTGATCTAGAACCATCCAGTCTTGGCTCGTGCCTTAAGGCAAACAGAACAAAGCCCTAACTGCAGTGTGATGGTGTCAGTGATTTTACAGAAGGTTTCATCACAATGTACCCCCTTCTTCCCAAATCTTGAATAAAAAAACCACTGTAAACCAAAGGAAAAACCACTTCAGAGCAAGGTGAGGAGAAGCCAGAAAATGGTTTGTGATGGCAGGAATTATGGAGAATAGTAATGTGTATTGCCATCCCTCCCTGGCTTAATGAACTTCAACTGAGTATTGTTAAAGACCCTTGGGACAGCAGAAGAGATTTTCTGATCTCTGAAAACACCAAAGAAGTTTACTGGGAGTGGTTTCCATTAAATTACCAGCTGCTATAGTTAAAAACCAAACCTGCCATAATCTATTTTTTTAATTCTTTGTTTTTAAAGAAAAAGAGTAGTCCTTGTAGACAAAAACCTCATGTAGGTCACTAAGGTTGCAAAAAATACTGTGTAAATGCTGTCATAAAACCAAAAAAAGCAAAATTATTCTGCCGTGAATAACATGCGGTTACCATTTGTTTACAATTTAGTCCAGCTATCAAAACAAGCTAAACATTTTGCTAAACAGTTCACAGTCATTTTACAAAGAACACAGATTAGGGGAGGTAACTGCAGGGTTGGCTCTGCTGGTGTCAGCAGAGCTGCTGGAGCTGTGCTCCCTGAGCCTGGGCATCAGACAAGGCACGCAGGCTGATTGCATTTCTGCTCACTGCAGCCACCCTAACATCCTAAAGGAAAAGAAAGAAGTGCCACAAATTAACTCCCTCTTCTTTTCATTTCATTCTTTACAAAAGAAAGGATTTAGAAAGAGGAGTGGGGTCTGGGGTTGACAACACATCATTTTTCTTAGTACACAGATGACTTAAGACAAGCAAATGCAATTTGTCTGGAGGATAAACAGGGAAATGTTTTGCACGAAAGAGCTGTTGGAAGTGATGTGCAGAAGGGGAATGTCTGGTTGCCTGTGGAGGCTGAAGGGAGGCCTGCTTCAAAGCCAAGTTTCAAATATCATCTGTTTTCACTATAACACTATGTAACAAAACAAGCCTCAGTAAAGTGTTCATATAAATGGGGGAGAACTTAATTGTTTTGCTTTTTTTCACTGTCATTTCTTCTCTGATTCAGAAAGATGTTTGAAGGAATTTTGTTTGCTTGGATCTTGAACATAAATAAAGAATGTGCACTGCTCAGGAACAGATGAAGTGTTACAAATTGGAACTGAAAATATAAACACATTGGGAAGCTAGGAGTGTGAATGTGAGAATGTGTATGTGTGGATGCGTTTTCTTTGTGACGTGAAAGAGCTCATGTAATAAAAACTTTCAAAATCTGATGATAAATATTCTGTCCATAATGAAGTTAAGTATCAATTAATGCTTTTTTTTTCTCCATAGTTCACTCTGTTTGCTTATGTAGCAAGAGAGAAAAAGATCAAGCAAAACTATTAAGTAAAGACTGCCACTAAAGTGAATTTGCTATGCAAATCTAGAATCAGAAATGCTGTCTATCCTCTAGCTAAGCTGAGGTGCATTGAAGAAAGGACATGAAATGCACTGGTGGTGACTGACAGATACAAAACCTGGAACAGCTATGCAAATGACTGCTGATCCTAAATTTCTCTTGTATGACAGGGCATTCCCCTTGGCAGGTGATTCCTGTGTGATAAGGAGTCTCCCACAGCGAAGATACATGCTGGAAAATGGCCAAAATATGGCATCCAAAATGGCATGGCTGCTACCTCAGTTGATTGTGTGACATTAATTGTGGCTCTAGCTGTGTGCTCAGTGTGTGAGTGCAATGGTAGGTGAGCTGCCCAACAGAGACACACTGAAAACTAACACACACACACACAAAACCATAACCTCTTTTCAGAAAGGAAGCCCTTCTGGGGAAGGTGGGGCTCAAGGCTCCTGAAGTCCAGTTTTTGGGTCAGCAGAGCCCCACTGTGTGGCAAAGCCTGCTCCTGACAGCCTGTCCATTCATTACTTATCACACTGTCCCAGCAAAGGCATCTGACAAAAGAATCCAGTGTCAAATATTTGGGCAAGATTGAGCAATTCAGCCCCCGGGAGAGGTGAGATTAGCAACACGGGGAGCAGCAGCCAGCTGGGGCCTGCCACGGGGAGCTGTGTTTGGTGCTGCTGGTGGCTGAGGCTCATTGCAACGCCGGGACACCCTGTGGAGAGCAACAGCATGTGATGGAGCGAAGGGATGGATGCCCAGGAGGGACAGGGCCTGGAAAAAACAGCTAGTGCAGGGTGGGCTGCTGTGTGTGACGATATAGACACATAACAGAAATGGAAAACAACATCCCTAACAGCAGAAAGACAAGTTCGGTTATGCAACACGCTCTGTTTATACGGCAAAAGGAAAGTTTGTACTCCCACCTGATTTCCTGAGGAATGCCTTACACAACACCAGCACAACATGGTCCACTTGTAACATATAAAGCACAATAAAGAGGACAACATAAATAATTCCCAAAGAGAACTGTCCTATTGTTCCTGTCCTCTCTGCCAAGGCTCCAGTCACCACAAAAGCATGGCATCTCTCCTGATCCAAGCTGGTCACATTTTGAAATGTTTTCTGGTAACTGTATACTTAGAGCAAGAAGTTCAGGGAAATGAACAGAATTTGACTTGCTAGGAAGCTTGAGCATGTGCCTGACTGGCTTTGGTTTCTAAGATGCAAGTTCACCTGTGCATTTCCTACAGCAGGGTCCACACTGCCTCATGCTCATAAAACATTACAGGAGGCCCTGGAAAAAAGGAAGCTCTGTTTACTGCACCTCGGGGTCTCTCTGCTAGTCAGACCTCACTGACCATGAAGCAGTGCTGTGGTGTTCTGCTGACTGACACATGGCTTGAATAAAGAAAATCCAGGTGACCATCCTGTATTTGGGTTTAGGGCTGTAACCAGAGGGGATTAAAGGCTTCTGTTGAGAGGGCACAGTCTCAGGGAAAAAGCATGAATGGGGTACTGGGTAACACCTCTTTGTGGCATGGACCACTCGGGGTATAAGAAGGCTTCAGCTAAGGATGCTTCAGCTCAAATGCTGTTACACCATCTCTCCTTTTTACTTGGTTATTTTTTTTTATCAAATCCATAAGAACCCCACTCTTTGGGATGCCTTCCTCTAATCCCTACACAAATGTGATTGAAACTAGCCAACAGGTTCTGAAAGTTGAGGGGAACTAAGGACAGATGTGTATAAAGTGATGGTTTTTCCACACTAAATCAAGCTAAACACTTTTCACAATTAAAATATGCAGAAAGCATCACAGAGTTATCCTGTAAAATGGAAGAGGTCAAAAGACAGCTTGGTTACAAGTATGGTAATAGGCCAGCTCAAGAATGATTGAAGAGCAAAGATGCCAGGAGGCTGAAAGAACAGCAACAAAGCCTCACATTTACAACAGAAGAGGAAGCAAATAAAAAAGCCAAGTAAGAGGCAGGAAGAAGCTACAGTAACAAAAATACTTCTAATAAACTCCCACCCATGATATTCTAACTGAATTCAGCTGTTTTGAAATTATCTCCTTAACATATGCTTTTGTGCAGGCAAGCTTCTAACATCAATTTCCTAAACAACACATGATAAAGCATTATGAACCATTTTTCACCTAATCCATTTTTTACAAAAATACTGGCTGTCCCCTGAGGGAAAAGCAAATGATGAAACAGCTGAGAAAAAGACAACTCATTTTCTCAGTTTATTTCCCTCCCTACTTCTGATCTACTTTAAAAATAGGTCAGCTGGATCCAGAAGACCAAAGGATCGTCTCAGCACACAGAACTGTTCTTTTTCAAAGAGTTGTTGGGAAATAGTAAAGAGAAATCAATACTGCACGATGTTAATTGTGAACAGTTTGGGTCTCACTGAGGAAGGATTCCCCAGGTCCTGGACTGCCATATAGGAAATCACACCAAGATTATGCAATCTGCTGGGAGCATGGAGTCAACTGGACACTAGAGATCGTTGCTTGAAAGCAAAAAGGATCATCACAGTTCTTAGGAGAGCTATTATTTAAAACAGGCCTTGGAAGTTTATGTCCAGTGTCCAATTCTTCACAGCAGGTTGGTTCACGTGTACTCAACTTCTCAACACTACAAGTGACTTTAAGGATAAGATTTACAAAACAGTTAATGGTAATCACCTATAAAAAACCTGTTCATATAAATGTCAAAAATTACTCTCAGATCCCTTTGTTCTGCCTTGTGTTTTCAGCACTTGGAGACATGCTCCTTCCAGTGAAAGACGGGGCTAGCATTTACTTTACTGCAACTTCTGATTCCACAGACCAGGGCAGGAGGCCATAATGAAACCCAGGAAGGGATTTCTAGTCCACATTCTAGAATATACAAGAGCTTGAGAGGCAAAGGGTGTACTACCTAAATCAGAGAATACTATTATTTACTATTTCATTCCTTCAGGGAGAGGGCACCAGTTTTGAAATCTGAAGCAAAGAAAACCAACTGTCTGCAAAGTGAATGTTTATTCAGAATTTTCCTTTCCACCCATTAACCTGAAAATGGGAAATATACTGAATGAGAAAATAATCCATTAGTTTAAGGTCAAGACACAGATCTAATGTTTTTTCTTTTTAAAGCAAATAAAACAGAGTGCTTTGTGCTGCATCTGTCCTCACCCAATGACGTGCATTTTATTTTCTGGCTATTCAGACTTGTTTCTTCAGAATGTGACATAACCTATGCTAGGCCTGTTGCTGTCACTCACTTTTTGTATGGCATGAGGAATATTATTTGAATTTTCTGCTTCGTTACTCTCGTAATGAACAAGCCCATGGAACTCCCTTAAAAAAATATTGTATTAGCAAAGTTAGTGAATCAAACACTAGGCAGGAATATCCACAGCTTCCCAAATTAATTAAATTATTTTTGGAAGCACCAACAAACTTGCAATTTCGTACTGAACATCAGTCTCTGCTCTTGGCTAGAGTGCAGTCTTGGTGGCAGGAAAAGGGACTGCAGGAACACTGTGGTGCTCTTCACATCTTCCCTTAAGGCACTCAGCACTGACTTTTAGCACAGACACAACTGCAGAGTTAAGCAAGAAGGGCCCCAGCCAATGTGGCACTTCCTGCCTGGCCTGTGCTCTGCAAAGTGCCCTGAATGGAGACCCCATCACATGAAGCATCAGGAGAGTAACACTTTGGACACCAGTGCAGGCATTTCAGACAGCAGGATGCCAAATTTTCAGAATAAGAAAATACACATCCCGTTCTGCAGACAAACTCATTGTAGGACTGTTACCTCTGTCTGGCTTTTCAGAGAGAAAACGATCTCCAG